GGTTCGGGGTTAGGGTTCGTTAGTAGTAGTACGTACTAACTACGACGACTATATAGTATTACCTTACTATATATATATATATATATATATATATATATATATATATATAAGATACTACAAAATGCCTATAGGCAAAAATGAACAGTGATTTTACCTACCCTCTTTACCATCCAAACTTCATCGTACGGTCACAGTTGTCCGATAGTTTTTCAATTTTTTTTTTTTACTAAACGGAATGATCTGAAATTTGGAGCATATGTACATCTTAGTGAGATGCATCTAATAAAAATATGAAAAAATTTATTCACAAAATATAAATTGATCAAAATACCCCAGTAAATTTTTGGGGGTATTTTGATAAATTTATATTTTGCGAATTATGTTTTTTATATTTTTATTAGGTGCGACTCACTAAGATGTACACACGCTCCAAATTTTTGGGGGTATTATATAGAAGATACTACAAAACGCCTATAGGCGAAAATGAACTGTGATTTTGTCTATCCTCATCACTATCCAAACTTTATCGCACGGTCATAGTTGTCCGGTAGTGTTTTATTTTTCATTTTTTTCTATATATAGAAGATACTACAAAAACGCCTATAGGTGAAAATGAACAGTGATTTCGCCTACCCTCATCAAAGTGTTTCATTTTTCATTGTTTTTCAACAAATTGGAATGATTTGAAATTTGGAGCATGTGTACATCAAAAATATGAAATATCAAAAAAATATTTTACAAGAAAAAAAAACCAAAATAGCCCCAAAACGTTTTGAGGTATTTTAGTCAATTTATTTTTACAAATTATTATTTTTATATTTTTATTGGATGCGCATCAGTAAGATGTACATACCCTCCAAATTTCAAGTTATTTCGATTTGTAGAAAAACAATGAAAAATGAAATACTACCAAATAATCGTGACCGCACGATGAAATTTGAACGGTTATGATGGTAGGAGAAATCATTGTTCATTTTCGCCGTTGCATAATGTTTTCTTATATTTATATATGGGAAAAATTTATCTAAGATTGCAACCTTAAAATGTAGAATTACAGATGCACCTCAAAAATCTATCGAAAAAGGTTGTTTTAATGTTGAAAGACCATCTATTTGATCATCTCGACATCGAGATGTATGAATGTGTAACAAAAAAAGATTTTGAGTCCCAAAAATAGTGCATCTTGCAATAAATTATCTAGACCGTCCATTTTCAATATTTTCACTTGTTTATAGATCTACATTATTTTAACTATTTTTGGAGTTTAAAATTTTATAATTAGATATAAAAAGACATTTTTAGATAATCTTAAGAAGTTTTTACACCAAAATTATATGTTATAATAAAATTTGGAGGTGCTCCTTAATTGGATTATTTAAGGTTGCAACCTTATTGAAACCACACCTTTTATATATTGGAGGTGCTCCTTAATTGGATTATTTAAGGTTGCAACTTTATTGAAACCACACCTTATATATATATATATATATATATAGAAGATACTAACA